ATGTTTTTTCTTTTTCGGACCATTCTCTGTAAACCCTAGAGATGGTTGTGCGTGAAAATCCCAGTAGATCAGCAGTTTCTGAAATACTCCGACCAGCCCTTCTGGCACCAACAATCATGCTACGTTCAAAGTCACTCAAATCACCTTTCTTCCCCATACTGATGCTCGGTATGAACTGCAGGAGATTGTCTTGACCATGTCTACATGCCTAAATGCACTGAGTTGCTGCCAGGTGATTGGCTGCTTAGAAATGAAGTGTTAACGAGCAGTTGGACAGGTGTACCTAATAAAGTGGCCGGTGAGTGTGTATATATAGACTGAGCCTGGTTCTGCTGGAGGTTTCTTCCTGTTAAAATGAAGTTTTTCCTCTCCACTGTTGTTACAAGCATACTCAATGTGAGAAGTGGTTTCCATTAAATTGCTTTCAAGTGTTGGTTCAAGCCCCAACTCTGGCTTTCAGTGTTGTTGTGTTCTTGGGCAAGACACTTCACCTGCATTGCCTTCTGAAGGTGGTGTGACAGACTGGTATCGCCAGTGTACGCAAGCCTCGGTTCTGTCAGTGAGCCCCAGGGCAGCTTTGGCTACAATACAGTTTGCCATCATCAGTGTGTGAGTGTAGGTGTGAATGGGTGAATGACTGAATGTAATGTAAAGCACTTTGATCAATTTCCCTGATTTGAAAAAGCACTAAATAAGTACAGGCTATTTACCATTTACCAAGATGTTTATGTTGATAATGTAAAAATTATCGATGATGGAGCAGACATTCCTTATCAATTGGAAAAAAGAGCATGATGAAAATTTTGTTTTATTTGTTCATAGATGCCTGTTGCATCGGCCCTTCATGACATTTGACAAACTCTGTTTATCCATGTGTTTCGTGCTTTACTTCAGGCTTCTAAATGTTTTCATTGTATCAGTGTGCAGAGGACAGTTGTGAGTTTAAGTCATCATTCTAATACAAACAGCCTGCGAGAAAGGAAGGGAAATATTAAAATAACAAAATAACATGATTTTTCATGAAATTAATAAAAACGTAACAATAGCTGGGGAAGGTTCCCAGTCAACCTGGTCATAGTCATTCCAAAAAAAGGAAATCAAAAACAATCTACTGGACTTTGTTTCCAAGTTTGTCTTTCAAAACAAAACCAAGGCTTTGTTGGGCTACTGTATAAAACTTGAACTCAACGCTAATCCAGACATTTTGAATTGAAAAAGCTTCCTGGATGGGAAGCAAAACGTCTTAAAACTTGGAAACAAAGTCCAGTAGATTGTTTTTGGTTTTCTTTTTTTGGAACGTAACAATTACTATTGAAGGAACAAAAATAGGAAGAGTTAATTAGGTAAAATTTTTAGGCGGAACTATAGATGACAAAATAAATCAGAAACCTAAGATTGACTACTATAGAGTAAAACTTTTGAAAGTGTGGAGGTCTAGTATAAAGTTAAGAGTTTCTTAAATTCTGCCTCATTGTTTATGCTGTAGAATTCCCTAAAACTTCCATATTTTGGATACTACACAGAAGTCTGAGGTTATACGTAACCACAAAAAAGCATTAAGTGTCACTAAGCAGAAAATGCCACCTATAGATATACAAAAATCTATTTACTTTTGTATCTAAAGAAGATGGCCATAGAAGGCGATTTTGTTTTAAATCTTTAAAACTAATGTGTGTGTCTGTCTATGGAGGTAAGCTGTGGATCACCCTGGATTCAGAACT